TATATACTTAAATCAAGATTGATTGTACATCCATGTAATTTTTTATAATGTTGTATTGTACTTACAAATGAAATTAAGAACATTTTAAACTAACTTTATATATACGTTCAACCACGGGCGCCGGAACGGCCACGAGGGCCAGGGTACCAAAAGATAGGAGGGGTCCGGAGGGTGGGGTCTCTCCCACTGGCCCCTAGAAAATTTAGAAATTTGTAAATTCCGAGAACGCTGTTTAGAGCGCCTCTAGCATTCCAAATTCCAACATAAAACCCTTCAAAATACATGATAATGAAAGAGACAAAAGCCTGTTTATTCACAATTTTCGTATCATGAGCAATTCATCTCATAAAAAAAATCTTTTTAATTTGACTTTCAATACACTAATCTTCATCAAGGAAATAGAATAAGCTTTTTGAACATGACAGTAGATTTAGAGACACGATTCTTGTAGGCGAAAGACCGAAGACATTTATCGTTCAAGTTCGTTGCAACAACCTCTGTGGGAGATTTTAATTTTTTAAATTACATGTCTCTTTGTACTAATTTAAAAAAAAACAGATCTCCACACATTCAGCATGTGCCAGTATTTATTAATTATTTTTTAAAAATGGAATTCTTTTTAACCTAATCACCTAAAAAATAAACATTACACGCGTAGGAATACGCACTATGATCTATGATCAATGCCGAGTGCCATTTTGGCCAATCAAAATAAAGAAAACTTCTAGCCCCGATCCTTCAATCATGGCGTATTTACTCAACAAGGGCACATTTTTCTGGCATTCTGACCAGAAAAATGAAGTGCCTTATTCATCAGAATGCAACACAGCCTTGCAAGTTACTGGTTTTTAACGACAACACCTGGAGGCATTGTGTGGAATATTCAAAACAGTGGCAGACTTTGGATGGAGAAGAAAGAATTAAAAAAACATTGCAATCACGTATCGAGATGTGTTCGAACTCGAAGGTATGTTTGTATGTTATTATTAGTTATTTTATTATTATTTTCTTAGTCTTAGTATTTACGTTGGTTGTTAGAAATATATAAAGTACTTGTTCACAATAAATGGTTTCACGCAAACCATGGGTGGGCAAACTTTCAAGTTTTAAAACTAAACCGAAGCCTAAAGTTTAGGCTAAACTGGTGAAGGGCAAAACATTTTTATGAAACATAACAACTAACAAATTACATTAGTCATTAATTACAATGTCAAGGGTTATGAAATATCATTTTCAATAAAGTAATAATATGTAACAGGCATTGCCTGAGTAGAGCGAAGCTGATTGTCAAATATAAAACCTTCATAATTAATTTTCTCAAGTGATACAAAAAAATGTTAAATAATTTTGTTTTTCAAAAGTGATTTTTATTTAGATCTAAATTTTATACATTAATTTTGTTTTTAAAAAAAGAACAAAGAGGTGTGAGAATTATTTTCATTGACGTAAAAAATATATGACGTCATTGATTAGACGCGTCATAGAAATAGTTCTATGAGGCGCGTAATCTCACTTGGGCGAGATTTGGTGTGTAGAATTATTTCTGTTAGCTACGTGATCTCGCTTGGGCGAGATTTGGTAAGTTGACATGCGCATTGCCTGTTTTGCCCAGTGTATCCGGTTCCTGTCTGAATTTTGTTTTAATCGCACAATACTGGATCTTCAATGAGTCGTGTTCTATTTTTCACTCGGCAACCCGGCATATCTCTGCAGATTTCACTCGGCCAACTTCGGTTATTCCTCTACACCAAACCATGTTTCCAAACAGAGTTATCTTTCCGTGACCCGCAAATTATATTTTTAACAATGAGTTGAATTCTATTTTTCACTCGGCAAACTTCGACAGATTCCGAAAAACCTCGGCAGAGCTATATATATAGAAACTATAATATAGCCAAAGAAATATATACTGACAGTATATATTTCAATGATATAACTCTACGACTTGTCACTTGATCCATTTTCCAAACTGAGTTATCTTCTCGAGACAATAGACCTATTGTATGATTTCCCTACCGATCGCCGCCATTTGGAACTACGACACTGCCGTCACTTGACGTAAGGTTTAGCTTCTACCTACTTTTACGAAATTTCTTGATCATTTTAAATAAAAGCAATTAAGCGGTTATGGCTGAACTTTGTCTATTCGGTCATTTTATTCATCGTGTATCCCATAGGATTGGTAATAGACTACCACGTCATTTGGGGGGTGGGGGACGTATCCATCGTGTTTGGCGTAGCGGAGGGACGTCACTAAATTTAAGACAGGATGTAGGAAAGATTCCTGTTAGCGTTGATGTTGTTTTCGTTCAGACTGGGGGTAATGACATAGGTCTACACAATCAACAGGCTGTTCGCATTGTTAACGACATAATTAACTTAGTTAATTTGATTCGTCAGCAATGCCCATGGGCTGTTATTGTTGTGGGCAATTTGTTTGCTCGCCTCAAACCTCGTGGTCTGAGTGATAAGCAGTACAACGAAGTTAAGAATTCGGTGAACAACCTGCTCCACCACAGGTTGTCATTTTTATATCGAGTGCTTTTTTGGAATTCCAGTCGGGAGACGAGGTATAGGGCATTGCACTTCGATCGTTGGGGAGTTCACCTTAATGCTGCAGGCAATCGTCTTTTTGCCAATTCGATTCGTGCTGCATTTATGATGGCTCTTTTCCTATTCAACGAGTGAACTGTTCACTTATTATTAATTCTATCATTGTCCATTTTCTTGGTGGGAGCATTATGGTTTAGTAATGCACCACAATGCAATATTTGAAAACAAAAATCTACATTCAAATCTTATCTGGAACAGTTCATTGTGTTACAAGCCATTTGTTCTTAATAGATAGCCGAATTTCTTTTAAATGTTGTAATACTACTAGGGTGATTTGATGATATTCATCGTTAGTTGGCAATTGGTGTGCATGAAAGTATTCTAAAATTGCTTCCAGAATATTTTTTTGAGATTCGAAAGATCACTTCATTATTTTAACTCTGGCTGACATATTTTATAGTTTTGAAATAAGCCTAAAAAGTCTGTACTTTATAAAACTTTATGAACTGGATTTTTGCTGTTTTGTAGTATACCTATCACGGTCAGCATGGGCAGATATGGAAATCTTGGCAAAAACAAAATAAGTTAATTAATGTCTAATTAATAATTTAGATAAGATTTCAGGCCTAAAGAAAGACCTGAAATTGACAGGTTTAGCTCTTGCATAATGCATGTTTAATATTTTTCACAATAATCTCATTAAAAACACAGATTCTGCTTTATTTTTATTTTTATTCAAGCATGTATTACGTATAAAATTCTTTTTTTGCCCATCTACATAAGACCAGTGGGGCGAGTTTGGGTGGTCGAAGCGTTAATGCGTCATTATCCGCTTGTACATGACAAGGAGTAGGGTCGTCTGTTCAACCTCGTGCGTTTTCTCCATGTCCTCAGGGTTTCCTTCCACTGCTAAAGACCCCTAATGAAATAAAATGAACAATTTCTTGTGAACGCTCTAACGCCAAAAGTTATCATCCAATTGTTTTAAAATTGATATATGTTTTCATTAGTGAGATGAAGAAGCCTATTTAATTTCAATAACTTCCGTTTATTAAGTCTAGAGTTATGGCCCTTGTTTCACTTTGTTGAACCTTGTGAACGCTCTAATGCCAAAAGTTAACATACGATCTTTGTGAAATTTATATGCAATATTTATGTTAGTGAAACGAAGAAGCCTATTGAATTTCAACAACTTCTGTTTATTACGTCTAGAGTTATGGCCCTTGTTTCACTTTATTGAACCTTGTGAACGCTCTAACTCCAAAAGTTATCATCCGATCTTTCTGAAATTTACATGCATTATTTAAATTAGTGAAACGAAGAAGCCTATTGAATTTCAGCGATTTCCGTTTTTTTACGTCTAGAGTTATGGCTCTTGTTTCACTTTATTGAACCTTGTGAACGCTCTAACTCCAACAGTTATCATCCGATCTTTCTGAGTTATGGCCCTTGTTTCATGTTATTGAACCTTGTACATTGTAAACGCTCAAACGACAAAAGTTATCAACCGATCTGTATGAAATTTAAATGCATCATTTAAATTAGTAAAACAAAGAAGCCTATTGAATTTCAGCCATTTCCGTTAATCATCTAGAGTTATGGCCATTGTTTCACTTTGTTGAATCTTGTGAACGCTCTAATGACAACAGTTATCATCCGATCTGTTTGAAATTGATATGCATGATTTAAATTAGTGAAACGAAGAATCCTATTGAAGTTCAGCAATTTCCTTTAATTACGCCATGAGTTATGGCCCTTGTTTCACTTTGTTGTACCTTGTGGTTGCTTTGACGACAAAAGTTATTATCCGATCTGTATGAAATTTAAAGGTATCGTTTAAATTAGTAAAACGAACAAGCCTATTGAGTTTCAGCAAATTTCCGTTAATTACATCTAGAGTTATGGCCCTTGTTTCACATTGTTGAATCTTGTGAACGCTTGAACGACAAAAGTTATCACCCAATCTGTATGAAATTCATATGCATCATTTAAATTAGTGAAATGAAGAAGCCTATTGAATTTCAGCAATTTCTGTCAATTACTTCTAGAGTTATGGCCCTTGTTCTACTTTGTTGAATCTTGTGAATGTTCGAACGACAAAAGTTATCATCCGATCTGTATGAAATTGATATGTATTATTTGAATTAGTAAAACGAAAAAGTCTGTCGAATTTCAATAATTTCTGTAGATTACTTCCTGAGTTACAGCCCTTGTTTTAGTTTTTAGAACCTTGTTAACCCTCAAACGACGAAAATTATATGAAGTTGTCTATTAAATGCCCCCTAATTACCTACAAAAGAACAACTCTTGTCGACCGCTCGGACGATTTAGCTGCTGTGGGCGTATGTTTAGTTGCCTGGCAACCTATCTTTATATAATGTAGGCCCTATTTAGCTCAGGAATCCATAGCCCTAAAGCTAATTCAAGTATTCAATAGAATAACTTACCTCTATGACTGGTTGTGTTTCTTAGAGCTTAAACAAGATATCAGCTGCTGCAAAATTTCTAGAGCCTATCTTACTAAGAGACACTGCAGGTTCGGTTCCAACATCTTCCTTTTGTATCTTCATCTGACATCTTAAAGTAAAAAAAGAGAGAAATGGGGATTAACACTCACACAAAACAAACCAACATTTTTGGACTGACACCCAGGAGGTTTGACTCAATGAAAGACCTTATGAGCTTGGACCACTCAACCACCCCTAAAAACAAAAGAAGAGTAACAAGCAAACTGAACATTTCAAAATTTTGATCAATGGGACAAGACTAGATCTTAAAGCTACAATTTCATATTTGTTAAGTTATATTTTTAAAATTTATTAAAATAAAGCCTTAAAATAGATGGTATCCATACACAGTCCTACCTTGTTAAATAATAATCCTATTAATCCTATAATTCACTATTGCCAGCTGCGAAATTGGCAAAATTATCATTTTCGAATTCCAACATTTGAAGATAGCTAATGCATGGAGGCAATAGGAAAACAAGGGAGGTAATTGTGTTATTATTTCCTGTGTCAATGATTTTTAAGGGTGGGAAATAATGCCCATAGTCGTATAATAGTGAGTTGATAACCTATTGAGCAAAAGACATAGAAATAATTATGTTTTGACTTTCATAGAAAATATGAAATTCTGGCTTGAAGGCTAAGGCCAGGAAACACAGCCTAGGTCTTACAGTTAAGCCTAAGGCCGGAAGACGCAAGACTACAGTAGGTCTTAAGAGATTCAAGACTAGGTCTTAAGAGACACAAGACTAGGCCTTACAGTTGAGGCCAGAAGATACAAGACTAAGCCTTACAGTTGAGACCGGAAGACACAAGACTAGGCCTTAAGATTATGGCCGGGAGACCAGACTAGGCCTTAAGGCAACTTACCTGAATACACGATCATCATTGTCAAAAAACTCCCATTCCAACAACATATTGTTGACAAAACATGAATGTTGTAAAATATAGAAACCTTGAACTTTACGATCTACTATCCAACTGACGTCCTCAAAGACAACGATATCCTTGGCTGGTAGTGTTGATATAGGTTTTCGGGTCCATTGTAAGCGATGAAGATTCGAACAGTTATCTTCCAAAATGCAGTTGCCCTTGACACGAAAGTCGATAACATCTGTTGCTGCTTGGTCGTGTGGTTGAAGTTTACTGTGTTGGGGGGGGATGAACTCGGGGTCACAGTTCGTCAAAACCTCTCGGGCTTTAGAGTAAGCGTCTGCTTGGGCATCTGTTCGGTTCTATTTCTGTGTTCATGCTACGACGGTACAGACAAATGGGCGTCAATTTTACATCGTTGAAAATTCCACCCAAGACAGTAATGATGGATGCAGGATGCGTGGCACTGCTAAGTTCGTTCATTTTGACAAACTTTTCACGGAGATCAAATGCCCTAGGATTTGGTGCTGCCTTTACCAAAGTGCTCTGAACCTGTGCTTCTGCTTCTGTTATGACAGACTGTTCGACACCATCTAAGATGTTACCATGTTCAACATTCATGGTGGTCAGTCGTTCAACCACCATATTATAACACAATGACTTAGCAGTTTTTTTGGAAACTGAAACACCTGCACCTTGTAGTATGTTGTCAATAAAGTACATGCCCTTATGATAAACTTTCCCTGATTCAGCTTTACAACTCTCTACATCATATCGACAACGGACTCGACATTTAGCCACAGGGGCCGCCAACTCCATTTTGCTGATTGAATTGGTTGAAGCATATTTAGGATTGGTTAGAATATCTTGGATCTGTTTCAAAATAGATGGTGGGGGTAACTCTGCAATTGTTTCTTTCTCCATCTTAGCAACGGTCGAGTTAAAATTCTCCAGTTTCTCCTTGATAACTTTTGGGGTCATATCATCCTGGTTCAAAATTTCAGTGACAGGAAGGGTACGATAAAGTTCCACCGCCTTCTTGAAACATGACAGTTTGATTTCTTTCTTGTTGATGCCGATAGCTCTGGCTAGGAACACACCACCCAGATTAAGTCGGCCAGTGAAAAAGGATCCGTTCTTTCCTTGTACCATGCCATCGATCAAAAAATCTGGTCTAATTCCAACTTTACAACTCAGAGAATTCTCAAACAACTAAAATGAAATAAAATAGGATTTAATGGGAAAGAGGAAAATGGGCTTTATTGTTCACTCGATGCTAGGTCATTTCGGGACTAACATATAGTTCATTTTATTTCATTAGGGGTCTTTAGCAGTGGAAGGAAACCCTGAGGACATGGAGAAAACGCACTTATTTGAACAGACGACCCTACTCCTTGTCACGTACAAGCGGATAATGACGCATTAACGCTTCGACCACCCAAACTCGCCCCACTGGTCTTATGTAGGTGGGCAAATAAAAGAATTTTATACGTAATACATGCTTGAATAAAAATAAAAATAAAGCAGAATCTGTGTTTTTAATGAGATTATTGTGAAAAATATTAAACATGCATTATGCAAGAGCTAAACCTGTCAATTTCAGGTCTTTCTTTAGGCCTGAAATCTTATCTAAATTATTAATTAGACATTAATTAACTTATTTTGTTTTTGCCAAGATTTCCATATCTGCCCATGCTGACCGTGATAGGTATACTACAAAACAGCAAAAATCCAGTTCATAAAGTTTTATAAAGTACAGACTTTTTAGGCTTATTTCAAAACTATAAAATATGTCAGCCAGAGTTAAAATAATGAAGTGATCTTTCGAAGCAATTTTAGAATACTTTCATGCACACCGAATTGCCAACTAACGATGAATATCATCAAATCACCCTAGTAGTATTACAACATTTAAAAGAAATTCGGCTATCTATTAAGAACAAATGGCTTGTAACACAATGAACTGTTCCAGATAAGATTTGAATGTAGATTTTTGTTTTCAAATATTGACAGTGGGACTTTAAATTGTTAATGTATATCCTTTTTACTACTACCTCTTCAACTTATTTTTAATTGATCAATCCATTCCAGAATTATCCAAAGTGTCAATGCTTAATCAACTCTAAATGTTCTCATGTGATTACTTAATAAATAAACGTCACTGGAAAAGCTTCAAAATCATTTTAAATACATGTAATGCAAGTAATTATGTCAAGATATCCTTTCCATACATGTGAGTGTGTATAACGCAAACCCGAATGTCAATATCACCTGCAATCAGGGAAATTTCAATGTAAGTCATAACTTTGCTCAAATTCTACCTTACATTTCTGACTTCTATGAGTACAATAATTAAATCATTTCTACATTTTATTTTCCAAACAAGTATTGAAATGACTTAAAACCATTCTAACATCCATCTTCATTAGCCTAGTCACATCCTAACTTACAAAAAAAGTGTAGTTAAAAAGTAATTTGAACGAAAATGGACATCGCAGTAGAACAGAGAGAAGCTATCCTTGACATTGCATGAGAGCTGATTAATAGATTATGGTCTGGATAAGTTAATTAATGTCTAATTTAGTAATTAATAGTTTTTATAACATTTAAGGCCTAAAGTTTAAAAGAAAGACCTACGAATACAATAGGCAGATTTTGCTCTTGCATAATGTATGTTTAATATAAATTATTGAAATTTAACTGGCTTCTTTATTTTACAAATTTAAATAATGCATATAAATTTAATACAGAAAAGATCACATGATATCTTTATTTGTTTACAAGGTCAAGTTATAATATTCATTAAAAAAAAAAATGTAAACTTACATGTCAAACACCTGAGTCACTTTACTAAGGTTTAACTTTAAGATTTGAAGGCTACCGGTAGTGCATTGTGGTGCATTACTAAACCATAATGCTCCCACCAAGAAAATGGACAACGATAGAATTAATAATAACAAGTGAACAGTTCACTCGTTGAATAGGGAAAGAGCCATCATAAATGCTGCACGAATCGAATTGGCAAAAAGACGATTGCCTGCAGCATTAAGGTGAACTCCCCAACGATCGAAGTGCAATGCCCTATAGCTCGTCTTCCGACTGGAATTCCAAAAAAGCACTTGATATAAAAATGACAACCTGTGGCGGAGCAGGTTGTTCACCGAATTCTTAACTTCGCTGTACTGCTTATCACTCAGACCACGTCAAGTGACGGCAGTGTCGTAGTTCCAAATGGCGGCGATCGGTAGGGAAATCATACAATAGGCCTATTGTCTCGAGAAGATAACTCAGTTTGGAAAATGTATCAAGGATCAAGTCGTAGAGTTATATCATTGAAATATATACTGTCAGTATATATTTCTTTGGCTATATTATAGTTTCTATATATATAGCTCTGCCGAGGTTTTCCGGAATCTGTCGAAGTTTGCCGAGTGAAAAATAGAATTCAACTCATTGTTAAAAATATAATTTGCGGGTCACGGAAAGATAACTCTGTTTGGAAACATGGTTTGGTGTAGAGGAATAACCGAAGTTGGCCGAGTGAAATCTGCAGAGATATGCCGGGTTGCCGAGTGAAAAATAGAACACGACTCATTGAAGATCCAGTATTGTGCGATTAAAACAAAATTCAGACAGGAACCGGATACACTGGGCAAAACAGGCAATGCGCATGTCTACTTACCAAATCTCGCTCAAGCGAGATCACGTAACTAACAAAAATAATTCTACACATCAAATCTCACCCAAGTGAGATTACGCGCCTCATAGAACTATTTCTATGACGCGTCTAATCAATGACGTCATATATTTTTTACGTCAATGAAAATAATTCTCACACCTCTTTGTTCTTTTTTTAAAAACAAAATTAATGTATAAAATTTAGATCTAAATAAAAATCACTTTTGAAAAACAAAATTATTTAACATTTTTTGTATCACTTGAGAAAATTAATTATGAAGGTTTTATATTTGACAATAATCAGCTTCGCTCTACTCAGGCAATGCCTGTTACATATTATTACTTTATTGAAAATGATATTTCATAACCCTTGACATTGTAATTAATGACTAATGTAATTTGTTAGTTATGTTTCATAAAAATGTTTTGCCCTTCACCAGTTTAGGCTTCGGTTTTGTTTTAAAACTTGAAAGTTTGCCCACCACTGTTTTACGTGAAACCATTTATTGTGAACAAGTACTTTATATATTTCTAACAACAACCAACGTAAATACTAAGACTAAGAAAATATTAATAATAAAATAACTAATAATAACATACAAACATACCTTCGAGTTCGAACACATCTCGATACGTGATTGCAATGTTTTTTAATTGTTTCTTCTCCATCCAAAGTCTGCCACTGTTTTGAATATTCCACACAATGCCTCCAGGTGTTGTCGTTAAAAACCAGTAACTTGCAAGGCTGTGTTGCATTCTAATGAATAAGGCACTTCATTGTTCTGGTCAGAATGCCAGAAAAATGTGTCCTTGTTGAGTAAATACGCCATGATTGAAGGATAGGGGCTAGAAGTTTTCTTTATTTTGATTGGCCAAAATGGCACTCGGCATTGATCATAGTGCGTATTCCTACGCGTGTAATGTTTATTTTTTAGGTGATTAGGTTAAAAAGAATTCCATTTTTAAAAAGTAATTAATAAATACTGGCACATGCTGAATGTGTGGAGATCTGTTTTTTTTTAAATTAGTACAAAGAGACATGTAATTTAAAAAATTAAAATCTCCCACAGAGGTTGTTGCAACGAACATGAACGATAAATGTCTTCGGTCTTTCGCCTATCATATCGGCGAACCGAGAGTATCGTCACTTGACTACCCGTATCTAGAATAGGAGACATTTGTTGGCCTTGAACCTTTAAATCAAGTTTATACATTGAATCTGAGTGTACCCTACGGATAGACGTCAATAATTCGCACGTTTCCTCGACTGTCGCGGAATCGATTGAGTCGATTCTTGTATCGACACCGGTCAAGCCGGTATCCTGGAACTTTTGATCACCCCCGGGGTGGTGATATACGCAGGGGAACCGTCCGCGATTTAGGCGCCAAAGAAAAGCGACGTTGTCTTTGGTCTTATTGCACATTACTCCTATTCATATAGGTATTTCTAGTTGCACCGGAGAGTGGCGGTGTCGCGTCCTCAGAAAAGTCGAAACAAAATAAGGATGCTGACAAATCCATAACCTCTGGAATTTGCATCAATTCTTCCTTATCGAGCTTCCCACAGGCCTCGCGGGTCCCCAACATTTTATCTATATATATATTGTTTTATTCAAGATCAAATGCCTTACGGCATATAGATACAAAAATGGACATTACATTGATGGCACAATTATACAAAGTCGTTGAAAACAACAATAATTAAATAATCAACTACCGAACCGTAATTAAACTTTCTCTTAAACACATAGCCTGTTTTAAAAATTTTCTTAGATTATTCAATACCTTTACATTGTTTGATGCGAACAACTGTGTGAGTTTAAAAACCGAAGGTCTTACAAAATAATACCGTTTAAGATATTGTTCTCTTATCGATTTATAAACAGGACACCTCAGGACAAAATGGAATTCATCTTCAATGTCGTGACTATCACAAACTAGACATATACGTTCATCTACTGGTATTTTACAGTATCGTCCACTCTCGATATTTAGAAGGTGAGAAGACGTGCGAAATTTAAATAATACTTGTTTATTTGCATTTGACAAAGGTTTCCTTAGATAATATTGTAAACCAAACGTTGAAACAATGTTACGGTACAGTTCACATTTCCTACTTACATTAATTGTCGATTGCAGCTGTTGTATATAATTATCAGTTAGATTTCTATTAATAATAGCAAGTAAATATTTTTCATTATACTGGTGGTAGTCTGTAAAATTGTAACCTACACCCAATACATTTAACTCATAAATACAACTTAACCAGTTCTGACTATCGCGTTTTTTTACTATCATTATGGAAATCTAACAAAGTTTGTAAACAGTTCTGCAAAATACAGTTTTCACTATTCAAAATATGTAACCAATACTTGAGGATTGATATCTTCCGTTTTGTAAAAAGGTCGAGCCTTCCTAGTTCATGGTACAACATACAGTTAGAAGATGATCTCTGTGTACCGACTATATTTTTTAGAAACTTTAGATGAACCTTTTCTATCTCAGGTGCTTTGTGAAATCCCCATGTTTCGGAGGAGTAACAAAGAATTGGTGTCACATAGCAATCAAAGAGAGATTAACTTATTTTGGATATTCTGTAACTTATAGCATGGATTCTTACAGAGAGCAAAATACGCCTTACGACCTTGATTTGCTAGAATATTTCGAGTCTTTGCAAATTTCCCGTTATAGTTAAAACATAAGCCAAGATAAGTGAATGAATCAACAGTCTCAACAGCCTGACCACCATAAGTCCAGGATTCATACTCAAACAAATGTTTACAGTTCCTGAAAACTAATACTTTGGTTTTATCTGTATTTACCAGGAGATCACAGTCCGAACAATAATTATACAGGGTGTCCAACATACATTGTAAATCCTCAGCGGATTCAGATATAAGAACCGTGTCATCTGCATAAAGTATTAGAAATAAATTTAACAATTTTAAATCAACGCTCTGGGAATTTGAATTAATTAAATAGTTTTCCAAATCATTGACAAACAGTGCAAATAACATTGGAGACAGAGCTTCGCCCTGCATTAAACCTACTTTAACTGGAAATGATTCACTCGTACAGTTATGCAACCTGACACATGACGAAACATCACTGTACATAGATTTGATAACCTCCAATAATTTTCCTCAAAGACCTGATTTCACTAATTTATTCCAGAGATTGTGATAGGTTATACTATCGAAGGCTCGACGGTAGTCAACAAATCCACAGTAGAGCCGTTTTCGCGACTAAGGATTTATAGATAAGTGTGTTAAGGGCGAAGATTGCATCTCTTGTTCCAAATCCAGGTTTAAAACCAAACTGGGCATCTGTTACATTATTTTCTCTACTCCAGGTTAGCAAACGGTTATTGACGATTGACGTAAATAATTTTGACAGATGACTGAGGAGGGTTATCCCTCGATAATTATTGACGTCGTTGCGATCATTTTTCTTGAAAAGGGGGATTATTATTCCCTTTGACCAGGATGAAGGGAAGTAACCCGAGCCTAGGATGCAGTTAAATAACTTCTGTAAGATAGGTGCGATGGCATCTTTTAAGTTCAGGAAATATTCATTCAGTAGGGTATCCTCTCCAGCGGATTTGTCGGTCTTTAAGGACTTCATTGCGTCTGTGATTTCCTGTAGAGTAAATTCGTCATCGAGTTCCGTGTACAAGCATTCTATGTGTCTTTCATTACCATCTGGAAACTGACCTGGGTGGTTTGCTAATTTGCTAAAATGGTTATAGAAATCATCGACATTCAAAAGTCCGACAGCATTTTGTTTTGGTTTCCGAAATTTTCTATAGAATTCTTTTGGATTAGATTTTCTTAGCTCACAGATATCTGATCCTTCTTTTAAAAGGTATCGTCGTTTCACCTTTGTCATGTAAGATTTATATTCGAGTTTTGTATTCGACAGTTCTTGTCTATTTGGCTTTGATCTACAATTATTAAATACATTAAGGGCCTTTTTATATTTTGTATATAGTTCAGAACAGTGGTTGTCAAACCACAGTTGATTCGGTTGATTAGTTGATCTAAGTTGTATATGACAGTCACATTGACATAGACGGTGCCTTCGTGTTACAGTACAATGGCTGTCGAAAATCGATTTAAGTGAGCCAGTAAGAATATGGACAAAGTTATCAATTGAAGATTTTGAATGGTCAATATGATTCAAAGACTCACTTAAAATTTCTAACGTAGATGAAATTTCATCTGAAGTAAGATTCACCCCATCCTCTGGCCACCTTATAATCAGTTTTCTTACAGAATATGTCTTTTTGTAAACACTGACACTTTTCGGGTCTAGCAATGCACCGGAGATCTAAATAAATTGGAGCATGGTCAGAATACTCATTCAAAATTCCTACTCGAAAATCGCTAATAACAGGACGGGTATTCTTATTGCATAGCACATAGTCAATAACACTGGATCCTAAGGTACTTTGAAATGTTAATTTGCCTATTGGGTCACCTTGGCACTTTCCATTAAGAATACGCAAACCGCTAGCCTTACAAAGATTGATTTGTCGTCCGTTTTTATTAACAAAATTGTCCTCGGATTGTCGTTGATTCTCATACGTGTCAGACTCATATGTTATAAAAGGATCAAGTTTATTTTGTAAGTCATTTGATAGTTTATCAAAATGTACATTATCAGGTTCTGTAGAAGTACGACTGTTTAAGTCACCGATAATTATACACGGACCCCTTACGGAGTAACAAGCTAACTGATTTTCCAAGCACTGAAATAGGTCTACACCATATGTCTTGTAGTAAACACTGTTTTCGGGGGGTATATACGCGCATCCTAGGAAAAGATTGGCATTTCTATCATAGAATAAGCTTTTGTCAAACTTGATCCAGATAATACTGTCATGCGTAACATTTAGAAATGATATAAATTTCTTTAACCACGATTTATATAAACATATGAGGTCCCCT